TTCGTAAACCGCAAATATCGTAAGAGATGAAATATCAATGGTGTACGAATTTTTTTTTTTTTTTCACCGACAGAAAATTTTGATGAAATATACCTTGTCGTCAAAGGAATAAAATTTCCATAAAGAGGTTTCGTTTCCAAGTGTTATATTAAAAAACTGAAAGAAAGTTGGTATTTCGTGTGAGAAGGGTCGGAAAAGGGTGAGAGAAGGGTGAGAAAGATATTCATCTTCATAAAGGGAAACGTGTCTGTGGTCATATCGTTATTATTATCATAAATATCCTTTCGTATCGTGACAAGCTGAGGAACATAATGAGCATCGATACCAAAAAATTGGCGAAAAACGATTCGACTAGCGTTCCGTCTCACACAAAGAATCGAGAGAAACTATGGCTGCGGACATGCGAGATACCTCTGACACTTTACACAATAATTACTGTTTTCATATTTCTGTTTGTTTGTTCTTTCTTTTTTTTTTTTGTTGGTTTTTCGTTCATAGTACGTACATTAATTATCCCATCCGTTCGAAAATATCAGATACACCACTCTCACGCGTTTTTCTTCGTTTTCTCGTCTCATTCTTTTGGTTTTTGTTGTTTCCTTTTTGTTTTCTTTCTTTCGTTTGGCTAATCTCGAATGAAGACACACACGTTCACTAGAACGTGGTTCGGCGCGCGGGTTTTTAGCTACGTAGAAACGATGACGGTTTCAAAAATACTTATTACAATTAGAAAATCATGTTAGAGTATTATATTCAGTCGTTGCGATCCTTAATCATAAATTCGTAACTAATGCTAGCACACATCGCCTGTCGATACAATAATATACATATACATATATAATACATAATACAACGATATCTCATCGTTCCACTTCCTCCTGTCCCGGCTTGCATATATCCTCCTCGTATCGTGGCTCGTTCGTCGTCGCGGTGAGAATTCCGCGAAATATCCACCGATTCGAAAACGTGAAACCGCGCCGCGGACACGAGGCCGCTCGAACACGGAAACGGCGCCGCGACCGGAAGCTGCGTGGCGAACGCGGTTGTACAGGGTGTTCAACGAGAATGGTCGTACGATCGAGAAACAGGCTGACTTTTCGTAAAGCAAAGCCAACATGTGAAATAAAATTCATTCTTTCGGAGAATTTATGCAAAATTGAAAATCATCAATAGATCATATCTTTTCAAATACAGTTGTAACTGAATAAAAATACAGTAAATGACAAATTTCAGTGAAGTTTAACTGAAATTAGAGTTTTCTGTAAATTATGAAGATGTAAATTTAACCTCTTTCGAATAATTGTTTTCTTCTTTTTCAGCTGCATATATATTTGTGAATATTAATGACAATCAAATGGTAAGTTATCCTTTTTTTGTTGGGGAACTTCCGAGTAAGTGTTAATTTACAATAATATTCATTGTATCTTTGGAAGCAGGCTAGAATGAAAGGAAAATTGAACGTACACGTTTGTGCCAATATCCTTCAAGAGGTTAACCCTCGTGTACTGTTCAATAAATTTGTTGCATTACTATTCTTTGAATTAAACTTGATCTAACATCGAATTAAGGAAATATATTTGAGTGTTATATATTTGTACTATTGGTGTCGAATTAATTTACGAATTCCTCTGATATAGAAGATAATTGAAGATTAAACACTGAATCTGTGTGAGATTGATCCTAACAGTGGATGAGAGTTTACACTAGAACCACCGACGATAAACGTATATCTATTTCTGTCGGATCGATAAATATATTAAACTTTGGAAATTATACAAATCCATAAATTAACCAACTTTTTCACTTTCATATTGTAATAAAAGATGTAAAATATCTGAAAACAATGCATTGTTATAAAATTTCAATCGTCATAAGAGTACTAACCAGTCATTTTGATTGCTTTGATGGTTCCAGTGTTAACTCTGTAAAGCATGAAGGTACGAAAAGCATACCAGATTTTCAACCGAATACAGAATTGCATACGCAACATTTCTATATTAAGTTCAAAATGTCGTATATATTTTTCTTACAATCATGCTTCGAAGAATAGAACTTCTATCATTGAACCATGTCTGTCAATTACCGACTACTTCTACTTAAACCGAACTTTGATGTTACTGACAATACTATTTCTTCTCCTCACCTTTTTACTTCCTTCTAATTTCGAATATATACATACAAAATAAAAACTTAAAAATACGATACCACTGTTAGTACCTGCGAACACTAACCCTTTGTAACACTAACAAAATGTATGGAAAATTAGAAATTCCGAGTGCAAAGGGTTAACACAAATAAAAATAATCAGTAATATACAGACAGAAAAAAAGAAACATTTTATAATAAATTTCAATTTCAATTCAGCCCATAATATGGCCTTCTTCTGTACCAAGACTCACCGAACACCGAGTACGTTCATTGTAAACAGAACGTGGCTGGAAAACGCCTTTCATTATTCGTCGAGTTCTGGCGCGCGCGTTGAGGAGGTGGGGGGTGTGTTAAACGCGGTTGACAAATGTATCGCGGGGGATTGGTACGCATTAAATCGAACGGCAAATGTATTAATTTAATAAACCGAATGCGTAATAAGCAGCGATAGGATCGCGCCCGCGGAACGCAAATTTCGCTAACGAACGATCGTATCGAACGGCCCCAAACGTCCATCAAACATTCTCCCCCTCACCCCTCTTTAATTCTCCTCTAATCAATTTTCCAGGGCGGATCCACGGGTTCACGAGTACTTTGTGAAAGAAACGTGGATCGAGCACGTTTAAGAATATCCAAATACAACAGCGACAAACGTAAAAAGCAACGCGTCCGTTCCGATTTCAGGTACATCTTCTTCACATGAGCGGTCGTAATGTACTTGGGTTTGCTGGGAAACATCGTGGAAATTTCTAATGGTTCTGCGCGAATTTCATCGGACAACGAGTGACATGGGGGGGGGATAGATAGAGAGCGATAGATTATACACATACAGGTTTATATATGTTATAGAGAGAAAGACAGATATACACACGCATCCGCGGCTACGGTTTTTTTAGTCGTTTTGTTCCGAGTGTTATAAAAGTACGAAAAAAAACTATTCCATTTTTCTTTCACTCGTCTTGCTTTTGTCGTTACAGCTCGTAAATATTAGAATACTTGTCGACTGTTCAATAAACGTTACTAGGCATTACGAAATTACTGAATGTTTGAAATTAAATACTGTCTGGAATTAAATTTTGTTAATACTATTATAAGGATGTTAATGAAAATGTGGGACAAATTGAAATATACAGGATGTTACTGAAAATGTGGGACACTTTCACAGGTGGATTTTATGCGCGAAATTAACATGAAAATCAAGAATGACGAAATTACGTTCGAGGCACAGTTTCAGAGTTAGTAATCGTTGAAAGTTGCGAGCGAAGTACGCGTGAAATGAGACTATTAATTCTAAAATTATTCTACTTGAGAGGCGGGCTCTTCAATTGTTCCACGAGTTACGTTCATTCATTTTATTTTACTTCATTCATTAAATCCAACTAGTTCATCGATCGAGCCCTTGTATCTGTTGTGAATCGGCTGTTCGAGTAGTACATACAACCCATCGCACTAGACCTTTTTTTACGCGTATTTCGCCTGTACTTTCAACGATTAACCCCTTCCCTTATGATTTCCTTTTACGACTTCGCATCCCACACAATTAATTTTCTTCTTCTTGTAAGTGTACACGTTCCTCAAAAATGAAAGGTCAAAATCAGTAAAATAGTATTTCATGTCAACTTCAATGGGTAAAATTCCTGTTTACTAAATCCAGTTTAAAATTCTCAAGACGAGTCTGACTCCTCATTATTTAAGGCAAAGGGTTAATAACTTAGAAAGTAGCCTCTAATGAAATTTGGTTATTCTCGACTGTAGTCTTAATTTCACATGTAGAATCCACTCTATGAAAAGTATCCAAAGTTTTTGTCAACACCCTGTATAATTTCCTAAAATATATAATCAAAAATTGTTTAGAATATACACAGAGTGTACCAAAAATGTTGGAGGATCCAGAAATAGGAGACTCCTGAGGTGATTTGAAACAAATTTTTCCTTAGCAAAAATGTTATCTGAGGCTTTGTTAACGAGATATTAACGAAAAACCTCGACCAATCAGAGCACGAGTCTACCGGTCGAGTTCCCCTTATAACGCTGGCCACGCCTTGCGATTAACTCGCGCTCTGATTGGTCGAGGTTTTTCGTTAATATCTTCTAAACAAAGCCTCGGATAACATTATTACTAAAGAAAACCTTGTTTCAAATCACCTCACGAGTCTTCCATTTCAGTATCCTCCAACATTTTTCTTACACCCTGTATATCTTATCACATTTTCTTCATACAGTAGGTGTCCTCATACTTACGACCGACAATCTACACACGTGCCCACGTGTTACACCTAAACACCGCGAAAAACACAATGGATCTCGCTCGAAACGAAGCAAATACGTACGTATGTCTGTGTCTGCGTGTGTGTCGGTTTCTAATAATAAAATACTCTTCGGGGATATTCTCTTTTAATTCCACGCTCGCTCTCGCCGTTCCTCCGTGTCGCGAATACCTTTGTTTCTTGTTCGTTGATCGGTCGATTTAAGGCCGAGAATGGTCGCGATTCACTCGCGACCTACGTACGCTTTCTTCTTCGTTTTCCATCCTTTGTTCTCACCTCGGAACACTTTTACCCCCGTCTGTACTCCGATGGACCTGGCTTCCCGGTGCTGTTCCGCCTTTGTTTCCGTCTTTCAGCATCGCAAACGCACGACACATCGTTCCTCCCGTGCACTCTTCGCGAACACACACGTTCCCCAGTCGGCTGTGTCACCAGGGGGGTACGATACATGATTCGTGGGTATCGTGACGAAGACACGCGTCACGTCGCGTCACGTCAAAGCAGGGCCGACCCCCGGACTTTTTTACAAGCACGTCGATTTATATAAAGAGCTCCAAAGCGCGCGGTAGTTGTAATGCAGCGTGGTTAACGAATGACAATCAGAAGTAACAGACCGAGCACCAGCCGCAGGGACGGTAAACCCGCCGCTTCCGCCGGGGACGAGCCGAGAACTGAAACAGGTACAGGTAAACGATGGTATAAGTAGGGCCTCGATTATCTGGGATCGCAATTGGACGTGTTACGATCTACGCTGGCCGAAATTTCGACGTAAGTCACCACGTTTTTTGACGAATTCTTATAATTATTCTATTGAATTATATTTTTATTTCTTTTTAAAATGAATGTTATATTTATTTTTTTAAACGAGTACGCTTTCTTTAAATAACTCCAAAATGCTACCAGACATAAATTTTTCATTGGTGTGCAATAATTATAAGAATTTATTTACTTTATAAAAAATTCTTATAGAAAGAAATGTAAGAAAGCATATTTGGCTGTGACTGTGTTGCAAAAAGGAATGCATCTTCCTGTTGTATGAAGAGCTTATCTTGTATATAAAATATATTTTCTATCATTTCTCCCCAGGTCTCGATTATCTTCTGGGCCGCAATTTATCGAGATTAATCGAGATTCTATTGTTGATAGAGACTGGTCGAAAGGAGTTTCTCAAGTATAGGTAAATCGATTCATGATTCTTTTATTTTGAACGGTTTGGGTCTGTAGAAAATGCCCCATAAATCATCTCCTTTTGGGATTGTAGAGACAACGTCAGGTGTTTATATGGAAGCCCGTAAAGCTGTTTTAGGTGTCCTTAGAGGATAGAGGGCTGAAGTCACCTAGGGTGAATGTGTTTCTGAAATTTTTAGTAGACTGAGTACATGTGTATGGATCATTCTTTCGTTGTACAGGGTCTTCAAAATAGCTGGAACCAAATTTATTTGTCGTATTTATTTAACCCTTGTACACCGAATGCTCCAGCAGCGCATGTTGACCCATATCAAATGTTCTGATATATTTGCTGTAGGACAAAGTTTTATATTCAGTTCTGAATGTATTATTTCTCTGAAATGCTTTTTTCGAATGACATTACGAACTATAAAACGCTTGTTTACATTACTTGTGACAAGATCCGCTATCTCGAAAGTCGACTGTCGAAACAGGCGGTTCAAAATGACCCAGCATTCTACCCAGAAGTACGTTCATAAAAACAGTGTTGTGATCTACTGATTTAGAGACGGCTATACAGCATAACGATTAATAATTCACAGATATTATTTATTTATGTAACATGCTTTTTCATCGATCTATCATTTTCGAAATGCCTTGTACTAAAATTGTAACTAACCACCTTGTACTAACATTTTAACAATCCTTTTCCATCACCTTCAATTATCTTTTGCTACCACCTCTATAACTCCTCAAATCCTCCATAACCCCACACCCCCATATCATAAAACACCCTGTATTGTTACACAGCATTCTAACGGGCATAAACATTCTCGGGACAATATCCTGAAAGAATCATAATAATCGTAGTCGTGCAACGAAATTCTGTTAGCGCCCCCGTGTATATCCAGCTCGAGCACAGCCGGAGGTGTCATACATAATAAACTACAAAAAATCATGTTGCAACGCCGTTGAATATTAACACCGACGTGCATTCGGGAGGCGAAGTATGTGCCAGGGGTGTTCCACGGTTTATATTTTCCACGTCTCGTACACACGATCACGAAAAATGGTTTCATTGTGGGGTCAGGGGGCCATGGCAAGCAGTGGCGTTTCTTAAGGGAGGTCGCAACATGGCACGGGTTGTCTTGGCCCCGCGTCCTTAGACGGAATAATTCACTAACATCTGCCAAGGAAAGCTCAGGTTACCACCCCCACTCTCTCTCCAACCCCAACAGTGTACATCCAAGGGTATCTTCTCCGGCTGACACTAGTTCATTCGCCGAAATATTTGATCATCCGGGTGTTCATGGCCCTGGAAGGACGCAGGTTTTAGCCGGTTTACTGCTTACCAGGACCTCTACGAGCGGTGCCATTGGTCAGCGTAGTAAAAAAAGGAATTCGGTAGCAGGAGTCATATAGTCGACAATATAAACGAAATTCGACCGGATGAAGTCTAGAGATCTTCTATACGGTTGAAGGTGAACGTGGAATCTATGGGGGAACAGCTGAGGGAGTTTGTCTTAATTTATAAAGAGTGACCCATTTGAAGTGATAGTTGCAATTATCTTTTGAACTATTTGTTATTGAAAAAAGACATGTTTTAAGCAAAGCTTACTTGGTTTAAAGGGGGACATCTTGTGGTGGTCACAAATGTTATCTAGGTGAACGTGCTTTCGAGATCTGAAGGTAAACTTTCTTTTTTTTAATGACCTTGAATGACCTTGGAACAGCAACATGTTATAGGTCAATGAATCCGTCGTGGAATGGGCTACACGTCTATTTGAATAATGAGTAGATTGCGGATTTTTATGCAAAATCACATTTTAGAAGGTTCGTCATAAAGACAAAAACAAAAGTAGGAAGTTCTTTCTGCCCTTAAGTATCTTTAGAAAACCCATTGCATCTGATAAAACTTTTATCTTTCATTGTATTTCACAGACACCTATAGGCTATAAATGCATAAAATTCGCAGTCTAATAATGAGCGTCGAAGAGCGTAGAATTAATTAGAATAGAAAGTAATTTTAATCACAGTTGGTTAATGTTATACTTAATTGAATACATTTTATTTTATACTAAACGTGATGGCAAAACGAGGGTGACCAAACTAATGGCTGTTAGAATCTGACAGAAAATGTACGTATGTCAATCGTATTGACCAGTTAGTTGGCTCTGAACAATCAATAGCCTGGTCATGATTTTGGGTTTATGGTAAACTAACGGTAAATTACCGTATGTTATATTACGCGAATACATCTTTCCTTTACGAGTTATGTATGAATTTTGGACATTCAGTAAAGTATCTCTACTGCTCAAAATAAATAGTGAATGCAGTGATTATGTCTGTCAATTCCACGTATAATTCCTGGAAATTCTGTTCTGAAATTGAAACTGAGTACCAGTATTGCCCATAAAATATGTCAATTTATTACAGCTATGAGCATTTGGAGATTAAACCAAAGACCTGACCCAGACCTTTCCTAGATTTAAATGGATCAATAGGAGCTCACAATGGTGGCGAACAGTGTATATTTTTGTATAAAGATCAGATATTTATCGGCGATGGATTTTTTCGATAGACCGTTTCATCCGTTTCCAATGAATACTTCAAAGCCACCGATAAAATCTATGAATCTACGAATCTAAATGCTCCACAACTACAATTTAAATTTCAGAATTACAAAGTAACATCGGATTCTATAATCAAAGCACACGTACAGAATTGTCCCGACTCACGGAACGAAATACGTGCGAAAGATAACAATTTCCATAAACTGCGATAACCACGTGACAGGCGTCAGTTTGGATTCTTTGAAATTTCAAATGAGAAAGAAAAAACGATCGCCTCGCCGACAGCAGATAAAACTACCGTGCGACGATTTTCTTTTTTTCTCGTCGGTCCTCCGTTAGAACAATGTGCCAGAAGTCGGAAATGCAAGCTCGCCCGTCGTGTTAGAAGGATCTCCTTGCGTTAAGGGGGTCGACGGTCGCCGGAAGTTTCAGAATTAATTCGCGCCATTTTCCGTCGCCGCTAATATATCCCTGTAGTCAGCGATGTCGGGCTGCTCGCGCGCGTTTAAGAATAGAAAGTAATGAAACCACGCTTTCCGAACATAATAACGCAAAAAATTCAAATTGAGGGAACGCTTACGCTTTAATAGCCGTCTCCGGATGTGGGTCATAGAATTTCGATTGCGCCTTTCGAGCGTTGATGGATCACGGATCTCTCGCTCTCTTTCTCTCTCTGCGGCGCCACGAGTACACGGAGTCGAACGAAAATTCCTTCCTGATTTTCCACCATTTTCAATTCCTTCTTTTTCTTCCTTCCTTCTTTTTTTTTCTTTTATTCGCGTATTCCGTTCCGTCGAACGTGATTCGGCGACGACAAGAACGATAAATAACGCGTCTCCGCGGTGAAATAATTTTCGGGCTTTCAATGGGATTACCCGGTTGACTTTGTCACGCGCGCTCGACCCGATAATTAACCCTCTCCCATCGCGGCTGTCCCGCGACTTGATTTACGCTGCCAAGAGACTGGGGCCTCCGGTACAGTCACAGGCGCCCGATCAAATATTATTCAATGCTCTTCAAATGAATTAACGTGGTACCTGGGCTCTACAGTCACGCTCCGGGACCTCGAATAACATTTGGACGAACCACGGACGAGTGAACCGTGTCAGTAACACCGGGACGGCTCGTTCTCCTGTAAATGAGGCCTAATTATGACACGGTTAATCGTCAGCCCCCTCCCACCCCCAACCGCCCTCCGACATCCCTTCAACTATTCGGAACATTCGCCGTTTTACAGTGCTCGTTTATCAGTCGGTTAACTCGAATTAAAGTAAATTCGAGAGATGTACGAGGCTGGAACAACGATAGGGGCGCTGCATGGCAAATATTTCGTTTGCGGGGAAGAACTGTTGTTCTTCTAGTTCGATGCTCTTTATAGAACAGTAGAATAATTGACAATGAAATAATTAAGTTCGTGAGATTGACCGAGAAATATTATTTCCTGAGCAAATTGTTTATGTTTTAGGCTTTGTGAAATAGAGATTTCTCTGACGAATCCAAGAATAAACGCTGTGCTATTGATTAAAGTGTTCTTTTTAAATTAAGGCTCATTTTCTGGGTCTCTACTTAGATTGTGAACTTCCTTGTGCATATAAAATTCGAAATATTTAAAATTCTACGGTATGAAGTGAATAGAACTTTGCCATCCGGTTCAAACCTGAATTATTTACAGCTTTGGAACCGCCAATTACAGTCGTCATTTATTATTTAGCTTCATATTACAATTTGTAATAGTTCAAATAATGGACGAGGAATATATATGTATATATACTTCTTGCCTTGTAAGAACATAATGCAGTAATATGTAAAACTAATATGCAATTACCCACAGAAGATTTCGGCAATTCTATTTCTAAAACGGACCTTATATTGTTAAACAATGTATGCACTAATGTGATGTATAGACTATGGATTTTTATGTATTTATAGCCTATGGGGCTCTATGACATTGAATAAAAAACAAAACTTTTGTGAGATGCAACGAGTTTTCTATTTCGTTTCGAATCCAATAAGATACACAAGAGAAGAAAAAAATGCCTACGTTTACTCTAGTCTTTCTGAAATTATAAAATATCTTACAAATGCAGTTCATTTTTGCATAAAAAAACTGCAGTCTAAGAACGAATAACAAATTATAATGTAAATGTATCTAAGAACCTGGGCCCCACGATTATAAGAACTCCAGACTAAACAAGCGACAAGAAAGAATATAAAAGGAAACGATCAAAACACGATTCATCCATTCACCATTGAGAACTCAACGTAATTCCACATCAGTACTGATTAAGCTCAATTTTATTGTATTACTATTCTATTAAAGTATTAAACTGTAATTATAGTTAAGTTGTATTTTCTAAAAAAAAACATTTCCAACGGTTTTCACTCGAGACAACATTTAATAAAACCGAATAATAGAGTCCTCTTCAAAAATAACCTAATTTATCCCTCCAGTATACACAAATACCTTCATAAACGATGGCATATTAATTGACTACGATCCATGACTAACAAACACGATATTCATTAAAATCACCGTCAAATACCGTTCTGCAACCGACCAGTCAACAATTTCTTTTCATCGCAAATATAGTCCCCGCCCCATGGACACCTCCCTTTGTTTTACTATCAAAACCAATGCAATTCATTGCCGTGAATATACGTCACGGAAGAGATTAATTCGTTCGTGAATCGGACGCGCGCGTGGCTGTGCCCGACGGCCAGAAGGCTTTGATTCGCAAAATGATCGTTCCCGATCTAACGAGCAAATATTTCATTTATCAGATAACTTACTTTCACCGCAACGAGGCAAAGAACCGCGGAGAAGGGGTTGGAGGGCAGGGGGGGGGTCTGTTCGAAAGAGGATCGTTCCCATCGAAATGGAAACCAGGAGCCGAGGTCTATAACGAGGCAAACAGCTAACTCAAATAACGAAACGAAGTTTTTGCAAGCTCCGATCGACCAATTCAACCGTGCATTTTTTGCCGCCACTCAATCCCACCCCCCCTCGATGATACGATTTCGATTGAATTGTGTTATTATATAACCTCATCGTACCACTGCGCAAGGGGAACCGATGTTCGTCCACCATCTTTCTTTCCTTTCCGTCCACTTTTTCATTCGGTGCACACTCGAGATTTTATTTAGCTTTATTTCGTCACTGACGACGACCAGGCATTGTTAGCGACACCATTGGCTGTCGTCGTCGTTTCCCAGTTGTTTTGCAGCCGGTCGACGGCGTCCCGTTTCATGGACGGCACTAAAGCGCGGCTCACTTGACGCGAAATAATCCGAAGCCGCAACAAATAATCCTGGAATGCGCCCGGGAATTATCCGTGGCCGCAGCCTCGGGATTATCTGGCGTGAAACGAATTATTTGATGGCGTGCCGAGACTATTTGACGTTAACCAGGGATAATTCGCCACGAACAGATTATCCGAACCGCAGAGGGAAGGGGCGGACAAACAAGACGGACAAAATTTCTCGGCGAATCGACCGGTGTCGGCGTCGATTTTGGGATGGTCGAAAGAAACTGGTTTGATCGAAGAAGCAGAATGGGACATACTTCATGATTTCATAAAAATCTGACGTCGATTCTCCAACATCTTTCAGGATATTTCGTCGAATGGATTTGAGGGAAGATGTAACTAGGGGCTTAGCCATGAGAGCTGAGGCATTGTACTATCCCACCCCCTTAGAGGGGAAAAAGTGGCCTTTGCCCTATTGTAGATGGAAAAAATTGGAACCCCCACCCAGGCGAGAAAATTATTATATTATAAAATTAATTAATAGTATGTATGTAAAAATAAATCGAAAATCCATTTAAAGTAATATTGTGAAATTTACTTTACAATCAATTTCGTCAACCGCCCCCCACCTAGAGGGAGAAAAGTGGCCATTACACTTCGAGGGGGAAAATCGAATTCTCCCACCCTCCTCCCCAGTATAAAATTAATTAATATTTTTAACGTGAAGATAAATTGAAAATCCAATTAACGTAATATTACAAATTAACTTAAGATAAACTTTGCCCCGTTCCGCCCTCCCACCTGACTGATAACCTGGCTATGCCCGTAGATATACCGAATTTAAATTATACCATCATTTTATGGACTTAATTATACCGCCACTTTATTGTTCAATACCGTACAATCGTCTGAGAGAGCTGGGATACTTATTCAACCGAAGAGTATTCCCTCTTGAAATATTAATTAGCAGAATCAAGTAAGGAAAAAGAGGGAGGACGTGTTTCGTTAGAGACAATAAGTTCTCGTGAATCATAACTAGCACAAGTGGAAGCAGACAGACATCCGTAAAATTTGTATGAAATCTGTCCGGAAATAGTGAAAAGATCAGCGAACGGTCGCTAGGAAACGTAGCGTCCGTGTCGGGATAGTTCTCTAAGAAAGTTTATAATTGGTTATCCCCCCCCCCCTGCCTGGAGTATGGTATAATTTCCTCGAACTCTAAATTTTCCTGTTTGGATGCTAATGCGGTCCGAGGGGGTGCAGGTGCGGTGAATCCTTAACGAAACAGATTTTTCAGTGTTAACCAGCACTGGTTCGTTGACCGAAATCGTATTTCCATTTCGTTTTATAATTAGTATTGGTGCCTACTTATACATTGGTTGGTCGAAGTGAACGTGAAACGGTACGCTGATAATAATTTAAACAATTGATTGTGGAAATATGAAAGTGCAGCAACGAAAAAATTGTCTGAAAAACTGGGTACGTCGGATACCTTAAACTATATTCATACTTAGACCTAGGACTCTTTTCCTGTTCAATATTTGCTGTAGGCTCTGGTACCTACTTTTAAGTGTAGACAGGTGATGAAAGGTAAAGACAGATGGTCTTGCAGTCAGATATGTGGGTATTCGAGTCAAGCCTAGAACCAAAATTGACCCCAATGTCTCAGATGTCTATGTTTAAGAAATTATATATTTAATCTGATGAGGAATATTATTAAATTAATACACTGATCTGAACAAAATGTTACGGAAAGAATATCTGAAGTAATACTTGAAAATGCTCCCCAAGGAGGAATGCTGGAGCAGACTGGCAAGCGGAGTTTTCATTTATGGTCCCAATGGGATTACAACCTCCCTATGTCGTTATCAAACAGTGTCCTGTCAGTGGAACAGATATAGTAACTTCAAAAAAAATACCAGAAAGTACCATCTACAACTCAGGAGCCACTCAGGATTTATTCTGTTTTTCTAATCCTTGGGTCAGGACACCTAAATCAAGACGGGGATAAAAAATTTCTCTGGTATACTAACCCCAGCCCTAAGATCGATGGCCCAAAAAGCAAAATCGACAGATTTTACTTACAAAAAGTATTACCCACAGATTTCCTTCATCCTTGCATGACCAACCTTGAAAACCGATGTTCGGATCACACATCTGATGAACGAATACAACAAAATTTTTTGCAAAAACGCACGTTTCATATTAGTTACACCCTAAGAAAGTTACTGTATTCGTTCCACGGACATCGCATCTCCTCCAACTAAGGGACCCAATCATCAGGGCCGTTCCTGACGGGGATGTAAAATGTGCCCCTGCATCTGGGCGGCCGCAAACTATTATATGTAAAATTTAATATGAATAATAATTAAAACTTTTTTGATGATTCCTAAAATTTTAAACAAACAGAATTTAATGAAATTAAAAATGAGCTCTCTTTGCATAACATCATGATTACAAACACTATACGTTAGTTTTGTAGTTATATGTAGAATAAAATATTCATCTTAAATAACACCACTCCTTTCTTAAGGATTTCTGTTTCATTTTAGGAAAATAATATTTATAAAATATTCCTTTTGCGCGATAACTGTTAAAAAAACTATGTATATAAATTAAAACTACTGAAACATACTTTTGTGCCATAAAATGCTTACATAAAAATTAATTAAACATACTTTTATACAGATATAAAAGTAAACACCGCAATATTCAATCCTTTGCCTTACGCTTTTCTTAACGTCTGCAGACTCCAAAATAACATTGATGTCGATGGTTTCCCAAAAACGAAAGGAATTCTATACTCTTATCGCAACTGTATTTTTACTGTAAAAGTTAATTATTAATGTCAGCAACGTGGCATTTCACTTCGACTCAAAGAAAACCGAATAATATTCTTTGTTGAATCGATTTCGAAATCGTCAACACGAGTTTGACTCAATGTTATAGAGCAAGGGATTAAATAATATTAAATTAATAAGAGCGGCCATATTATTTCTGCGCCCGGGCAACAATCCAGAAACGGCCCTGCCAATCATCAAACTCACCCCTCCCCCGTCAATCGATCAAGACATGTACACCGTTACCTTTCACTCCGACGTGTCCGTCGGGCTTCTTCTGTCCCGTCTGGAAGTTCGGCGGCGGTTGGAGATAGTTGATCCCGACGATCGTCGCCGCGGGCTCGTAGTGTATCACCCTTGGCCTGTCCTCCTCGCTGCTGACCTCGGTGCTCTGCCAGTATATGTCGTATATCGAGGCGCTGCACCGTATCTTCAGCTTGCCGAAGGCGGTGAAGTCCTCATGAGTAACGAGAAACTGAAGGCCGATCTGGGAGACCTGCCACTCGGACTCGTTGGTGTCGAGGGGGCTGTACGGTCGGACGTGTGACTCCAACGGCTGCACCACGGTGGAGTGGGAGGAACCAACCGTGAAGGACAGACACCACGGGATTGCAGAGACCAGGTTAGAGATAGCCAGGGAATCCCCTTCGATGATCACGCAGAACGCCTGTTAAAATTCCCCCGGCCAACCACTACCACGAACGCAGCGTTTCCCAACCCAACCCACCCCTGGGGACACGACGGCGGCGACTTAATTCCGATAATTAATTCCCCTGGTTAAGCCGCCGGTGTCGTTTTAAAGGGACACATTTCCACGATTAATCGTGCCTCGCAGCCGCACGGAATTCACCTGGGGTAATCTCGCTTGTTCGACGTTTAAGGATTGTTGCCTTAACCTTTTGCGGTACACTCGGCGTTCTACTACTGGTGAGATTATACGCCATCGGACGGTGGATTATTTCTAGGATTCTTCGGTGGTCTTCTGGCGCGGAATAATTCCGTTCGATGTAATTGCCGGGGAAATTTTTATTCAACGACGGTTGGCGTGAAGTGGTCGGACGGTGAGTTCTGTCGAGTGGAATGGGGGTCGTTGATTTCTCGGGGATCGAGAGAGTGTATAAAGGAGCGAAATGAAAGACAATTGATATTTGTATAAATAATGAGAAATGATGTGTAGTTTGTAGGTAACGGCGTGGGAAATTTTTATTCAACAGGGTCCGTGTGAAGTGGCTGGACGGTGGAGTTCTGTCGAGTCGAGTGGGGGTTGTTGATTTCTTGTGGACCAAGAACGTGCATGAATGAGCGAAATAAAAGGAAACTGGTATTTGTTTAAATACAGTGAAATACTATATACCATGTAGGTAATTACGGAGGAAAGTTTATTCGCGAAGGTTGTTGTAAAGTGGTTGTGCGGTTAAGTTCTATCGAGTGGAGTGGGGGTTGTTGATTTCTCATGAATCGAGAGTATGAATCAACGAAATGAAAGAAAATGACTACTTCTATAAATAATGCGAAATAACGTATAATTGCTGGGGATATTTTATTCGCGAAAGTCGGGGTGAAATGGTTGGGGGGTTGAGTTCTGTCAACTGGAGTGGGGGTTGTTAATTTCTTGTGGATCGAGAGCGTATATGAATAATAAATGAAAGGGAATTAGTATTTGTATAAATAATGTGAAATAATGGATAGTTTGTAGGTAATGGAGAGAATGTTTTGCTCGAACAGTAAAACTACCCCTTTTGCGAGTCACGGAATTCATACTCGACGCGTGGCATGTTCGCGTGCGAAATAATACGAAAACAAAACGGGAAGAAGTATCTCTCGCTAATTGTCGATTTGATTACAATTTTTATCGGTGCACAGTGTGTACGTGGATGTGCATTTTTTTTTTTTTATATAACGCGTGTCGCGGCTCATCTCGCCGTTTCGCAATTTCGAAACGGATTTATACAGGGCGATCCTACGAACTGGGACGACTATAACTCTTTTCTGAATGGGGGGAGGATGGGAAAAAAATTGGCGGGCAAACAGAGTTACGTTCGAAACCGGGATTCTATACGGGAAAGTTTTTTTCGAGAGCGAGATCGAGATTGCAATTGCGTTTCGTTGGTGTTGTTGTTGCGTATGTATATGGGAAACTGTGCAGACTGGTGAAGAAGTATATAATCTCGTCGAAACGAACGATTCGACCGGGCGAATTCTTCTTTATTATTCCGAAACGGGGAGCACAGGTTCGCTCTGATTTCGAAAATGAACGAATGAATCACGAGGAAATTCAGTCGGGGTAAATTGAACTGTGCACCGATGAAATTTCGAAATACAAAGTGACAAAGTCGCGATGAAACGCTTTACCGTCTGCAGCCACGACGATACAAATATCCGGATTGCTCCTTTTATACACGGGGAAGTGTTTCGCTTGCAAAAGATAACAAACTCCGTTGTTAATGTCAGCCGGAATTTCCGTGGATCCCGGAGGGAAAATATTTACACCGCAAAAGGTTAATGTTCGAGACAAGTTAAGAATCCTTCGTCGTCACGGGGGGGGGGGGGGGGAATCCCTGCGCCGAATAATGAAAGCTTGTACAAAATGTTATTCCGCCGCGTTGCCACTTTACCGAGGGAAGCCAAATATTTTCCCTCTTTTTAAATAACAATTATGTTTCCAGAATAAGCTACTTTCCAGCACCAGTAAGCTACTTATAGTCACCATGCTTTATAACCTGTATTTCAGCTGAAAAACCTAGTTATTTATGAAATATTGAAGATAGACGAAGGAGTAATTTCATCCCTTACGAGCATTTATGATCCATTTTAAAGAATATTCATGATATATGCGTTTGTAAAGTTCATTTTAACACCCGTCTAAGGAATTTCTTTTTAACATCTTACATTAAAAGTCACGTCTTTAAAATATGTATATCGTCATCCGTTGACATTATGACGTAGAACGTAAATTATTGATGTCGCTCCAAGAATAATTCAAACGTTGACTTCGTCTCGGGACTTAACATACGTTACGCGACATCTCCGTTTAAATATCAACGCAAAGGATTAATATATAATCTTCTTGATGAAAGAAAGACATGCGCAAACCCCATATACCACGTTATTTTCATAAAACGATTTGAAAGGATCTCAAATAAGACTATGTATTCCTATGACACGGTTCCGTTTTAAAACAGTCAATGAATTAAAGAAAACCATGTAGTTTTTATAGGAACAAAATAAGAGCTGTCAAATGAAAGTCAATGAAATTAAGTACATTTGCTATGCATTTGTTATGCATATCCTATACATTTTGCAATAGTCTTGCACTACATAGGAACACCAGTGTACAGTGACGCGTTAATTCACATACGTATTTTCAAAATTACAATTCCTTGTACCAATTTTTATGCAATTTCTATTTACGTTACCCCATAATTTTTACTTTTATCACGCTTTCCCTATAAATTGTTCGCAACGCTGAAACCCGATTTGTACTTTCATACGTAATTTGTTCAAACAAATGTGACAGCGATCAATAAACAAACTTGTCAGTCACTGTACCTCAGAAAATCTTCATCTGACAAAAGCAAAATGGTATCCCAATCCGTCCAACGACAACGCAAAATAGCCTTTCGGTCTTCACGAACAAAAACACCGAAAACTCACGATATCTAGAGTGTATCATACAGACAGCTACACATAATAACCGTCTAAGTACAAGCTTCATCGTTCAGCGAGCTCCTGGAAACACGTTGAAATGCTAGGAAGGGGGATCAGTTACGTCTTGCGGGTAGCCGGCGGAATTCACAGACGTTCTATCAGGATAGCACAGTAATATACCAAAACCCCTCGTACTTGTCGATCGTTGATGTACCAGGTGAGATTGGCCGCGGGTTTGCTCCGTCCGGATGTGCAGTTCAAACGTAGCATATCGCCAATCTGGTATTTCCTCCTTAACCCGTGTATCGCTGGCCCTTCAGAGGGTAATTCTGCGGAACAAGAGACGCCCAGGTATACAGGAACAGGCGATGTGGAGTCGATGTGGGAAGGGTGAGGAAACGGAAGTATGCGAGGCATGTTCGAAACGCCGCTTTGACGTTCAGGCCACCCCGTTGCTCGTGTGTATCGCACCGAAAAGGGATGAAAAGTTTTCAAGATTCCCAGATGCACCAACATACCAATACACTCTCTATCTCTCATTCTCTCTCCCTCTCACCTCACGTTCCCTATGTTGCCTGATGAAAAATTCTTCTTTTATGCCTGGCAATTCGCGCTCGCGTTTCGATACACGGAGTAATGTATTCATAAGAGAGACACCATTGTCCCGGGACTCTCTTTCAGCCGTATCTAGCCACGGCTGCGCCGAATATTTCGTCGATGCACGCTTCGAACCGGTGCGTTTGATATTTTTTCGCGATGCCTGGGTACACACGGACACATATACATGCATAAACGAGCTAGTGTATCGTCCCGTATCGGGAGGGAAATACGTGGCGACCAAAGAGGGGGATAGGCAAACGATCGAGCGCGACGCCAAACAAGTTCCTGAGAGTCTTCCGTTCCCACCACCCCTTTCGAAGCTGGATAACGAGAACGGTTACAGGTAGGAGGATCCTCGTGGCTCCTTTCTCGTCGTATCCCATCGCTTTTATGAGCCGTAAGAGCCCCTTGAACCATCTATGTTTTCCTCTCTTTTCTAACCCCCCCCCCCACCGGAGAACCTATTTTTTTTTCCTTTCCTCCCCTTCCACCCCCGTTCGTTTCGACTTCCATGTAAAACATCCGCGGCGTAGATAGGACTACACACCGCCCCCACGCACATCCGTCGGAGAGAACAAACACGGCGAGAAAGCACACGAAGAGAAAGAGAGCGTTTCCCTTCCCTGTACCGTGGAAACAAAAAAACTAGAAAACGTTCCCGCGCGCGCGCTGATAAAACGAGCCATTCACTTTTTGCCCCGTGCAAGGTACAAGATTATACACGGTTGTTCCCGCGAAAATTTTGGATTTATTAAAAACGAACGGAAACCCGTAGTAGATCTCACTCCCATCACCTTCCGAACGGTTGTGCAAGTTTTTTACCATCGTGCATTGACTTCGTTAACCCTTTCATTACTGAATTATTTAATAATTACCGAAGAAATAGTTTTTTGTATTTTTGTGTATATTACCATACATAACATATAAAGGATTCACTGGAATATTTTAATATTTTGATACTGTCTAATGTTATTTTTTATCTGTTGCCGTTTGACAACTTTTTCTACATTTATCGCAGTTGTATGTAATAATTCCCATTATAATATTATTCTATATAATATAAAACCCAATTTTTCTTAGCTTTGATCTATGGACCGTCTTGAAATATTTGAAAGAAATTAGAGTTTTGTACATTTCTGTTGTATTCGTGATAATGCTCAACACTTGAATTCCATCAAATGAAAAAAACAAAGGACTAATAATATTTTATTTCACCGATAAGTTTTGAAATGCACAGTGAAATTTGTGCTACACCATCTATAAAAGACTAAAGGAAACTATTATATACTCACAGATATGAACAAATATATGATACTGCTACTTACTTTATTCCGTAATTTAGAATACGTACACATATGGCAACAGTAGGAATGAAAGGGTTAAAAATGTTTAGATCTGTAAAATACGCGAGGTACGACGGTCGTTTTATCAAAATATCATCCCCCTGTTTTACTTGGTTCTTATGGAAGGGGAAAAGTTCATATTTCTATCCACGGGAGTGTTTCCCCGTGTAATTTTTCCAGAGGGCGAAAAGTCAGGGCGAATTTTCATCGCGGAATTACGGAAGCTTCGTCTCTTTCTCTTTCTGTGCTTCCCGGCCGCGCCGTTAACGAAAACACGCGAAAACGTAAATATCAAGGATGTCTCTGACGACGAAATTCTTTCTGCCGCGGGAAAGTTAGCTGGAATTTTTCCATCCGAGTTTTCGAATCAGGAGAAGGATCGAGAATCGCCGTGAAAGTTTCACCCCTGATTTGAAACGCTCCGGTCTGATTCGCGGGGGCCTTAAGTATATTCCCATAATGCAAGACACCGCGAGAACCCCGGGAAATTGGAAAGATTTTCTGCTGAGCAGACCGAGTTCTCGACTTGTGTTAACCATCCGTGAGCCGAATTATAGTCTCGATTTAAGCAGCGTGATACTCCGCGAGATTTTCGTCTGTACGTCAGTCCTGCAAGTGGAATTAAGTGGAAATTCTTGTAAGTTACCTACTTGCAGTTAACGTCTGTAATTTAATGGATATGGAAATTAATGAAAATTGAAGAACTCTGTTTTGAATGAAGATTGGCTTTTTCGTGAAATTTCTTTTGTGAGACGAATGTCTACCGAATTACAAATTCCCCCGTTTATTGAAATATTGATTTTATTTAGCATATTTATTATTGAAATTTATAAATTAACATATTTTATTGTTGAAATTTATATATTAGCATATTTTATTATTGAAATTCGTATATTTAAACCTTTGTTTTATTTGTTCACGATAAATTACACGTAAATAGTAGAGAGCTGAAAAATATGCTTTTATATTGAAAAAAATGCTATATTATTTTTATGTCTTGCATGACGTTTATTCTACTGATATAATCTTCTGCCTCTGGCATAAAACGTGGACCGGTTCTTCATTTTTCATTTATTTTCTGTGTCAAGATATTTCTTTTTCAGCCAAGTTTTTCCATCGTGTTAAAAAATGCTTTGAAAGGAATTTCTGTGAGTCAAGTACCTACACCGTTTTTCGTTTTCAGTGGTTCGTAACGTACGTATTTCTAACCTGCCTTTTGCGGAATATTTTACTGAACTTCCCTTCTTATGAATTTATTCATACTTACTCTTTTACTATAGTTTCATCGCATTGATTTCGTCTTATTGTTATTTTAATTTCGTATTAATCTGTAAAAGCCTCCTAAAAAGCCCTGCCATTGCTTCTAACAGTGCTCTAATTCGGAGAGAAATTAATTTCTACTGACAACACAATATTACCCAAAAAAAAAAATAAGAAAACCAATTGGATCTTTTCCTTCTATAAATATGCCTAATACATAATACAAACCAATTGCAACCACTCGATAAAAATAATATAAACCAACGAAACCTTCAGAAAAATCTGAAGCACGTCTGATTCAAAACAACTACTCCAAATTTATTAGTACCACTCGACAGGAAGCATCCCTTATAACGTACCATTCACAAAAATCGAATTACCATCTTCCAAAGCTAGGTCGAACTTCAACTACGTAAATACTGATTCTACCGTTCCCATTGATATCTTTCCACGTTCAACTTGCCGTAACAAAGACGTTCAACCGACCTCTTATCATTGGCCAGAGTCCGCCCTGCGCCATTTTCCCCATCCCCCTTTTATTAACTTCTTAATTACGTTCTTCCAAGCGAGCTCTTCATTCAACAGTTTCTCCTCTCGCGAAACCTCCGCGCGATCTACAACTATTCCGCGCGCGAAATTTATTGCTTAATCACGTTTCTTTGTCCCGCGGCTTAGTCAAGGACAAAAGGGCCACGGCCGAAGAACGGTAACGGGGTCCCAAAACGATCATTAAACCGGTGTCCCGGAGTCCGATAAAATAGCAATTATATAATAAACGTTCAGGGGCGGTGGGATCCAGCCGGGATGGTAATTCTCGCTATTTGTTCGTCGCTTTCTTTGCCTCCATTCAGCACCCCGCGACAATGCGACGAGAGACACGAACGCTGCGGTCCCCGAATTTACGGTGTTCTCTCTTCTCCCAGCTAGGTGTATTTACCGTACCAACAGCATAAACGCCTAAACGTCCCGGGAACACAGCGTCGAAACTGTCTTTAATCCACCCCACCCAGCCACCCCAGGAGAGCTTTGTTATCCGGCGGGCGTTTCAGCTTTCGCGCCATTTGGCCCTGCAATTTGTCATGCGCCGATAAATTAATGAGCAACGGGGTGAGACGGCGTGTCGCCGAAAACGTCGGGATGAGAACCAGAGAACTTCATCAGAGCCACCCTGTGGCCTAACCCTAATCGCTTTTACTATCATTCGGAGGAACGTGAGAAATTTAAAGGGAATAAAAAAAAAAAGAAAGAAGAGAAGGACGTGGCAGAAAAAGAAGAAAAATCGACGGTTAACCTAATTCTCCTTCACCTAAAACACATCTAATTCCCGTTCATTCCCGCCGCGTGTACCCGCAGTATTATCTTCGGCTCGGTCCACAGCGATTCGCGTAAGCCCTTAAGTCCACCCCAGGCCGTGGCTGGTATTAATTCGCAGTTCGAAACTGCACAGCCTCAGGTTAGACAGAGGTAAGGGAGAGAGAGTGTGAGAAAGGTAACGGCGACACACGTTTTCGTATCGCTTGTATCGCCGCGTAAAGTTCCACTACGAGTTAATAAACACCGGCTGCTGGGGCTTCCCTTACCGACGACGTTCATGGTGGCGACAACTACGGCCGTGTGGAATGAAGGCGCGTCGGCCGACACCTCGCACCTGTACTCCCCGGCGGCGTCCAGTTCCAGGTTCGTCAGGGTCACCTGAGTCGCGTTGCTGTCGATTTTCTGAAACAGAGATACATCGATTTGTCGCTGTTTTGTTGATAGTCTGTTTTGGGGTGATACTTTTTATCTGTTGGATTGAATTGGCTGGTAAGTAGAGGGCCCCAAACTTTGAATAATGAAAGGTTCCCAGGTGTAACGATGAATTTTTAGTGAGGCTTAGCATAGTGGTGAAACGTGGAATTGTGAAAGGAATGATATTTGTTCCAGTAGTATATGGCCATTAGTTTATGAGATATTTAAGGTTAATTCTTTGAACTCGGAATTTCTAATTTTCCATACATTTTGTCTCTTCGGAGGAGACAGTCGAGTGCAAAGGGTTAAAATTGTAGACTATATAAAAGGTGTTCCCAAACTGGTGGTACAACACAATAGAATGTGATTCTGTTTACATAGAAAATTAGGTCGAAAATGTGGATTAACATTGTGTTTGTGACAATTGAATTTGAAAATCTGCTGGATGCGCAAGTGAATAGGACTTGATTAACGCGTCTGAGCATTACATCCCGTTTCTACTTACTGTCAACGTAATACGTATTAGATGAATTTCAAAATTGATTGTCTTGAAAGCGAAGCATCATACAAGAAAATTTTATTGTATATTTTCGATTTCTTTTTCTTTGTAGAATTAAATCCTTCCAGGTTGCACTACCACTTTGGAGACATCTTGTATACATATAGGCTACAATTTTAACATTAAATATCTTGCAACTTTATGCAACTAAAATAAGTATTATATTGGTTTCATAATTCCAAGCTCTATCACTGTGATAAACCTTATTAAAAAGTCAATGTTACAACTGGGGACCCCACCTTGTTAGTACTGCTAGATGATTGTATTTAAACAATTCGCGATGCTGCATCGTCTAGGAAGAAAAAAGACCCAATTTCGCCAATTTTTTACTATTAGTTAATTGTATTAGCAATTATTTTCCAATCACCAATTTTAATGAAACTGTTAGGACATTTAGTAGGCTTCTTCCTATTTACAAATCACCCCCTTGTAGGGGCAGATACTCGACAGTCTTTCAGTTCTTTGCTTTTGAAGGGTTCCACATGACTTAAATATAACTTATATTGTCTGGTCATTCGCAGATGTAGCATTAGGACAACGTCTATGGTTTCTACCGTGACAGCCAAAGTTCTAATACGTCTTAAATATGTCTAAAGTTCTTTGGGAGAGCTGATCGTCACCATAGAAACCATGAACGTTGTCCCGATACACGAACACCTGTAAATAGTCGGTCAACATAAAGTTTAAGTAAGTCACGCGGAAAACTTCAAAAGCAAATAACTCAAAAAGTTTCGACTATCTGACCTATATAAGAGGTGATTTGTAAAGAGGAAGAAAGCTACTACATGTCTAAAAGTTTCATGGAAATCAGCGACCAAAAGTTAGGGCCCTCTGTTCTTATGTCACATATTTAGAATTTCGGTGACATTTCTGTACTTGCTTGGGGATTTGGTTACGTTTGAGATAAATATTTGAACGAATAAAATGAAAGGATCTTCAAGATTGCAATTGACAATCTAGAGATGTCTGTTGGTAGAAGACTATCGTGCAAACAACATTTCTGGTTACGTTTCAGACGTTGGATAGAAAACAATAAACTCATAAAAATTAGCCATCTTAACAGCGAAGTACCATTCATGAGATAAGACTTAACAAAGCCACACACAATTCAAGGTGTATTTCCCAATGAGATTAACCTTTAAACTGCCAGTATTTTTTCATAAATAAGTGGTCTTTTTGTAAAATACAACAGAAAAATTTTTCAGAAAGGAGATCTTAAATTTGACTTTACTTTGAACCCAACGAAACCTTCAATAAAGGAAAGAAATCCCTGGCCTGATTTCAGTTCAGAAAAATTAATCTATAAAAATCAGAAGTTGCCTAAAAATTCGCAGCCTATACATATAAAATATGCACAGCGCTGAATTTTGAGTAATGTCAATCTCCCAAAACGGATGCTCCCTGCAGCCTAAATGTAACTGAAAATCTCGCATCCCCATAAAAACTGCTGTCACCGCAAAACAATATCGAGTTCCCAATACCTCATTCTAAAATCTCAAAGCCTCTAACACCATCTCCAAAAGAAGTCTATAAACCAATCCCATTCTCCGCGATACTCAATCCCAAGCCGTCTGAACGTCATTTCTTCCACTCAACACAGTACCCAGCTACATGTCCGAGTATTTCACAGTATCTTCCACCCGAGTATCCATGTCACCGAGGATATATCCATGCTCGACTCGACGATGCTCGTTCGACGTCTTCCTCCCGTTCGCACCGTTTGGCAGGCAGGTGGATTTATGATCGCCATACAGACTCCCCGAAAAAAAGAGCAAGGAACGAGGAACGGAGGGGGGTTGAAACGCGGATCGGTCCAGCGAGCATCGATCAATCGACCGGAAGACAAAGGCCCGCGGCTGCCGCCACGCCGATTCCCCATTGTTCCATTTCGCCGTTGAACGAACGTTCGTTGAATAATCCTCGCCTCGCGAAGACGGCACACAACTGGACCCTCCCCCTAGCCGTTGTTCGCCTCTTCGCGGTGGTATCGATTCCGTGAATGACGACCGTCCCCTGCGTCACTCTTCTAGGCAGACCCCTCTGGCAAAAGCTTCACACTGTTCTCGCGGAATACGCGTCTGCCACCCCCCTACCCCCCCCCCATTTTCTACCCCTCGTTCTGTCCCACAGGCAGCCAGTTTACGAGCGACATTACGCTTCGTAACGGCGTCCCGTCGGCCAGTTCCGCAGAATTCCGCGACGCGTTTCGCGATTTATTCTCGTACAACCCTCCCACCCCTCTGTCCCCTTGGTCTCTTTCCGAGGCGAGAATTCTGTCGCGTGCACGCACACCCCTCGAACGAGCAATGGCAGGGAGGGGACTCGACTACTATTCGGTAAGCAACATCGTTTCCACGGGACGGAGGATTTACTAAGCCCGGAAAAGCAATTTTGAAGCTACGGCGGGAGGGGTGGGGGGATCGTTTTTTGTTTTTTCGTAATTTTGTAACGCGCCTGGATTTCACGGGTCGAGGGGAAATAACGAGACACTTGCATGGTAAACGAAGGATTATGGAAAGCTTCTGTGGAATATTGTGGCTTGTTTCACCGGGGGGATGGGATTGTTTCGCGAAAATTCTGGTTTTTCGGGGATTTTTCCGTCTTTTTTTTTTTTTGAAGCGGATTGATGTGAATTGGTGGATTGAGTGAGTGATATTTTACAGATTTTTTGAATTGGGTTCGCTTCGGTGAAAGTTTGTAGTAGGGTTAAACGGTCGTGGTTACGGAGGGCACGAATGGATGTGGCGATCGATGGATCGTATGTAATATTCTACGTGAAATAATTACGGTCGCGGGGATTAAAATGTGGCGGCTTCTCAATGGGTTGGAGTCAAAATTGGAGTGATTAGAGAATATAGGATAAGGTGGAGAGAATTCGGGTAACTTAATTGTTGTCAGATCCTGTACGATTTCTTTTGTGGAGGATTTGTTGAAATTTACGAATATCAAAATTGTAATAAATATCACCCTTCACGAACAATGTAATATTCGCTACAATAATCTTCGATCCTATTGAAGTGAACACAATGAATGTATACACAATGAGTTTTTTTCTATTACTCCTGTGTATTGGAAGATCGATATAAGAACAGTTAGGACCAGTCAACAAAAGAACCCCCAATAATTACTATAATACTTCGACAATCTACGGTACAATCACTGGGGTAACAAACATGCAAACGACAGGAAATTTTCATCGTGATCAGAATATCCAATGGACACTTCGGTCCGATCATTTGTCTGCCTTGAAATGTGATAAAAACTCAAATGATTTCGTTATTTTACCATGTTACAAAATTTCCACAAAAATTCCGTACACAGATTTCTCAGTGAACGTAATGCATCTACAGTTATATTTTTTTAAGACAATTTGGTATTGAATAATCTTAATGTTAAACAGGCCTGATTAAATATTACGTAATACAGAAACAAATGGGTTTGCATGATACGTAACATTTTTTAATAACTTCTTCTCACGCTGTCTGCCATACGATCCATATTTAGGCGACGCAATCTCTACTTCGAAACCCAAAAGTTAGGTCTGAATACGATATATCAGAGAAAATATATTTAGTTCGTATCATTCAACTCGATAAAATTTTAATAGTAGAACCTGTCACGGATAGAGATCCGTTCAAATTCCATTTCGTAAAATAGGAGCTGTGTAATCCAGCTGGAATTTCTATTATATTATTACGACCCCTTCGAAATGATCGTTTCTGTGAAGTTGAACATTCACTTAATTAAATTAAAAATCTCTTATTTGAATTGAACATTCATTTAAAATGAACCCTTTTTTATTACAGAAAGTATTATTACGATTTTAATATTACATTCATTGAAATTTCTACAAAGTATTTAAGATTTTATAAATTTAAAGCTAGTAAATATGTAATCAAAATACCGTGCTATATTTACACGCTATCACGTAACAATGTTACAATAAACGATAATAAAAAAAGACACAAGTGAATAAAAACAAGCTCATAAATCACCAATATCAAGTCACGCTGTTGCATATGAGCAACGACAACGTAATATGGCAGCTTGTCATACATAAACGTCTTACTGTACAGTGATAAAATAAAAACACTGTTGCCAACATATCAAAATATAGTCAAATCTTCTATCTATGTGTTAAAAGCATAGAGAGAGTATATTTTACTATTATCGAAGTCATAATACCGTCGAAAACATAAAATATGTAATTTCTTCATCTGATCATAATAATTTAATCACTCACCGTAAATTGACCAGTTAATAAAAGTACGAAGTAATATTTACCGACAATTACGTCCTCAATCAAACACACAGCGGTTGCTTTCACTCTCAAAGATTACTACATAATAAAACCCCTAACAAGGAGAGGACCCCATCGTCGATTTTAATGAAACTTTTTGGACACGTAGTAAGCTACTACCTCTTTACAGTTTTACAGTTATTTGCTTTTGAAGTTTCTCGAGTGACTTAAGTATAAATTATGTTGCTTGAATATTCGCAGGTGTTGTATCCTTGGGACAATGTCCATGGTTTCTATCGCAACGTCCAGAATCTGAGTTAGGTACACGTCGAGCCCTTCCAAAGATTCTGGGACGTGTTTTGGACGTGTTTAAACTCTGGCTATCACGTTAGGAACCATGAACGTTTACCCAACGTCATTATGTATGCGAACAATCGAACAACACAACTTGCATTAACGTTTCTTGTCGCAGAATTATGTTCGCCAGCGACAATCAAACCCTATTACTACTACCACTGTAACTTCTAACAAAATCATTATTGTCACTTAAACAAATTTGTGCACATTCTTCGAATGTCAGTTAACAAACGTACAAAGTTGGGAAGTATAATACTCAACATTTTGCTTTTAAAAAATTCCCAAAGATCGCCTTATTTTTAGAGCATCAAACTAGAAAAACCCCTTAAGTAGTTAGCTAACCTTGACCGCTTGAAAATGGTAGGTATCTTTGTGAACTTTTTCTGCGAATACAATAAACTAAACTAGAAATCAGCTGCAAAGCCTGTATATTTTGCATATTTCAATATATATAGGGTGTCCCAAAATAGGTGTAAGTCCTTGAAAGGGGCAATTTCGCCAAGGAAAAAGTTGTTTCAAATCACCCCAGGAATCGCCCCTTTCAAGGACTTACACCTACTTTAGAACACCCTGTATATATTACAAGCTTTACAACTGATTTCCAGTAGGCTAACCCCTTAATTCACCCAGAAAATTCCAAAAGCAAATAGCTCAAAATCTTTCAATCATCAGCCTCCATATTGGAAGCTAATCTGTAAAAAGGAAGAAACCTTACTACACGTCCTAAAAGTTTTATTAAAATCTCCACCAATAGAATTCGATCCCTCCTCTCCTAACTGAAACATTTCCTATCACCCCCGATAACTCGCCCCTCTCCGCAAACCAGCGATGTTTACGATGTCCTCCAGGATAATGATGGCAGGCGTCGGTATAATCGATTGATCGATGTCTCGAGGGTAGGTCCGACTTTCCACCATCCCTTCCAGAAACGGTCCTCGTAAAAACCACGGAGGGTTCGTATAATTTCTCCGTTTAATCGACGCCAAGCCGTCGCGTGTTCCCCTCTCTGATTCCCGCTCGTTAAGCGGACGGCCCCCGGGGTCCGAATATCCACCAAGTTCCACGGTATCTCCGGCGTCATATTTTAGAAGAAACGTTCGGTTATTGTTCCATCCAACTTTCTCTCGACTACGATAAATCCCACAGACGACGCGGGTCGGTCTCGCCGCAAGCCGGCGGCGTTTTTTCGCGGTCGTCGACGATGGCAGTGGCGTCGGGCAGGCCGGTAGTCGCGAGAAGATTCTGGGCTGTCGAGCCCGTGGGCCACGAAGAGTAGAGAGCAGAGAGAACGAAGGAAGAGAGAGGTGGAGGGAATGGAAGGAAAGGGAACTCGATGCTCACCTTCACCGTCAAGTTCCCGATGGGGAAAGTCTTGACGACCGGGGTCTCGTTCGGGGCGTAGCGATAAAACTCTCGACCCCCTTTGTACCACTTGACGGCGTATAAAGGATCCCCCTCGGTGTCATACCAGCAGTTCAGTATCGCCGAGTCACCTTTCTTCACGGCCGTCGGTATCTGGATCCGCACTTCTCGCAAACCGGAGCAAATTCCTGCAACAGACAGGTGTGTTTCTATTTAGCGGCCGGGACGCGATAAAATTGGGAACGTTTTATATTCCGAGCTTGCAGGGAAGATAATTGAGGCGGCGGAGAGGGTGAATGGGTTGGAGTAAATGAATGGAACCGGGGATATTGTGTGGAGTCGTGAATAGACTGAGGGTGATTGTATGGAAAATCAGAATTTTTAACAGTTAGTGGTATACAGGGTGTAACAAAAATGTTTGCTAGGAAAAAACTTGTTTCAAATCACCTCACGAGTCTCCCATTTCTGGACCTTCCAACACTTTTGTTATACCCTGTATATTATGTGACGTTTATACCAGATGCCGGGTAACGTTGCGTTGGTTTTTTAAGACCATTTTGTTGCGTGTGAGTAATATACCAACACACAATTTCTTGTAAACATTAAGTATGGATCAATATTTTATCTAATCAATTGTATTATAAAGGGAGAATACTCGTTAATATATTAATTTAATGGACAGGATTTTTCGGAACTGGCGGTTCAACCATAGAAGGATGTAGTTCTACGCGCAGAAAATATGTTAAAAATGTGGAATGGATTCTTTTGTTATGATCCTTCGTTTTCGAAACAATCGAATTTGAACGTACGCTGGATATACGTGCAGGTGAATGGAACATGGCTAACGCGTCTGTTCATTACATTCCGTTTCTACGTATTCTCATTATTTTTCGGAAGAGTAGGAGAACGAAATATGTATAGGAACTATTCTACACGTTCAACATTTTACTTTTTGTTTTATTAGTTATAGTATAATTACACATTTCCCCGAATATTTGCATAGTTACCTGAATCATCGTTTTCCAGGATTGTTAATTAATGTTTTTCGCGTTGCTTTTTTACATGTGATTAAAATATAGACTTTTATGTACTAAACAGCTTATAATCGTTACCTTTTATGCATTCGTTTAGAAGTTACGGTTATTCAAAGTCAATAACTTTCAATTTGGAGAATTTGATGATCTTGATTATGCTAAAATTAGTATTTGGTGTGTGCCCGTTACTATTTTTGTCTTCGAAGTTCGAAAACTTTACGGTATATGTGAAAAAATCTGATTATAATACAAGAAATAAACAATTTCAAGGTACATAATAGGTAACGACAAAAATACGTGTCAGGTTATATTATAGTATAGCAGTCTTTTTAGGTATTCGCTCAATAAGAAATGATCCAATCAGAGAGAATATTAGTTTTTCGAAAATTCTTAACCACAAAGGATTGAATTTTACGAAAAGATTACAATTTGCATATTCGACAAAAATGTTATTATTATAACACCTTCAAAACTTCGTATGAATGATTATCCACTCTACAAACTTCAAACTTATCTCACAAAATTGTATCTTGTAAGCACATTGTCAAGTTATTTATGCAAATTTACACTTTACAGACTAATTCAAAGAAGTTGGATAATAATTTATTTCTTCTATCAAGTGTTTCACTGCGTTAAAAATAATACGAAGGAGTTCTAAAACTTCTAGTGTCTCCTTAAAAGCAGAATCTTTACGAGGGAATTAACACAAAGTATGCATATACCGTTCCGAATAGGAATACTGTAGGGCATGCAACCGTGTGGATTAAACAATGTTAAATACCGGTAAATATTATTCCAAACGGTTGTTCCACGTTTCTTTTAATGGAACCCCGAACTTCGCAGCGCACTAATTCTCGACAGGAAGCTATTAGGACGCTTGCGTAAAAAACTATTAGTTTAAAGGATATTCAAACTCCAACTTCGTAAAGTTGTACCTCTGTTTACCGAAGTAATTACACGTGCCCTCACTCTCTCCCATATGTACGTTCTATGTGCAGCGCAAACTTCACGTGAAAATATACCCTTTATGGTAATTGTTTTATTTGCCCAAGTGTCCAAACTCTTCCTTGCGCGAAATGAAAGTCTACAGAATTGTTGGAATTGTAACTTTGTTAATATACGCACAAGCACGACGCAAGTTTGCCTTATTCTTTTCGACTTTCTTACAGCTATAAATTCAGATTAACTAACTTAAAATTAACAAAATTATAAATCTGTATCTTTGAATTAATCCCATCGATTACTCAATCAACGGTTACCAGTTTATTGACAAGCAAGTTATTAATTAAGTTCAGTCACATCCGGTCGGAACATCGAAACAGTCGAATAAAGATAAACAAAGGCAGACCCATTCAGTTGTTGCCAGCAGAGTCTCGACTCTCTCCAACAATTCTTGAACGGACTGACCAACTTCTCGACCGTGGGGCTCTACACTACAGACTCAAACCGGAGTTTTCGTGTGCACAAACCTTCGCGTGCTCTTCTAGAACCTCTCCATTCCCACTTGAGGCACAAACACCTGCGCGATCTCTTTCCAAACTATCACTCATACCCATGAAAACTTAAGGGTGGGCAGCTTTAGGTCTTGAGAAATGGTAGCATTGGGACTCTCCTTGGAAGAAAAATGCGAGGGCGCATTTAGAACGAAACTTTTTCTGATCGTTCATGAACACTCGAGATATCATAGACATTATGACATTTGTCTTATACAAACGAAAATTCAAGAGAAAACATTATGAATGTAACAAAGATCTTGGAAAAAGTTTGTTTCGGAAGTATCGAAGTAATGAAAATAATTGTTAATCGGATAAAAACATCGTCCAAATCGTTTCGATTAATTCATTCTCGTCGCGAAATAATTACTGATGAAATCTGTGCATTAAATTTCTATTAAAAAGTTCAATATTCAAACAATAATTGCCCGTAGAAAATTTTTGTGGCTCTCAGGCAGCATGGTGATTCTCAAACAATCTCTTTAGCTGCCTTTTATTGTAGTTTCAACGGAGATATCTATATAACTTAGAGATTCCGTTCATTAAAGTTTCCGATTCTCCTCGACTCTGGAACAATTTAACGAGTCAGCTGTAAGTGGTAGTTGTTTTCGAATCCGTGCCGGCATTCAAGCGAAACCGAGGAAGAATTGACGGGGGAAAAAAAGAGGAAAATGGACGACTTTCCCTGTTGACGACTTGGACAGCTGAATTGATAGGAGTTCTCCCCGTCTGGCAAACAGGTCGTCGCGAATGTCAATCACGAGACTTTCTCGCCCTGTGGGGAAACTGGTCGGAGACGTTTCTGGGATTACACTCTAAAACTATTTTCATTCTAACCCACCGTGTAAAGTTTGTACGTATTTTCAAACGAAGATTCTATAAACTGACCACTTATTTTATTTTGCAACACGCTGCCTTTTAGAGATCACTAAATTAATGGAGATTTTTATTAGATACTCCAGGAACGACAGCCAAGTCACTTCAGAATTAATAAAATTACCAAATATACTTTTCTTAAGCACAAAGTGTTTTTGGACTAAATAGACCAGTTTTGCCAACAAAAGAATGCCATTTCCGAAAATATGCGTGTAACTAAAATTACATACGTTGAATGTATGTTTATTTACTAAAATATATATTATATATGCTAATCTAGATTTAATGGCAATAGAGTTTAATTGCTTGTAATGTTAGATAATTAACCCTAGTTGCCTTGAAGACACTCTGGGTTAATTATTTTTCGATTATCAACCCTACAATATCAATCCTACGTTAAAGTACCTCAATGTTATACTGAAAAACTACTAGAATGGCGATAGTGTTTAAACATGGATAAAAATGATACCAGAGGAAAATTCACGACAAATGAATCTTTGTAATTAACACTGGTACATGTATTTACAAACGTAAGAAGTTTAACCCTTAACTACAGACCACTCGTCTCACAGACGAATTTGAATTTTGTTTAACTATCACCACCTAGTGGAGAACTTTTCAAGCCCTAGGCGTTTAAGTACCTTGAAATGAATTGTTATTAAAAGTGTTCCAACGCGGAATATTCATCTCCCAGACGAGTGGTCCGTAGTTATATGTTAAAGGAGTCATTAAAAGACCATTATAAGAGGAATTAACTCATTTGTACGAACGACCAGTACCGAGTACAGCAAGGGAACCACTTAGTAAACAGTTACTAACTACAAAAAGAAACACGAGGAAGGTTTCAGTACCAACTATAATAGTACTTGGCCAAAAACTTGAAACATCTCTGGACAACAATTCTTCACAACAAAACTCACGCAAGAAATGCACGGTCACCGTCCCGAAAGGCGTCAAGTAGCGTTCGACAGGAAAGCTTTGCCAGCATTCCGCGAAAAATCGGCCAGTAAACATGTCCGCAGGGAAAAATGCGCCCGGCTGCGACAACCACCGGCATTCTTTACGAGTTCCAAAGAGGGAATATAACGGCGTACTGTCGCGGCACGGAGGAATTTGTGTGCGGTTTTTCTACACCGTGGACGCTGTAATTTTCCACGCGTATTTCAAACTGCGGCGAACGGTTTCGCGCGAATTTAAAAGCGTGACCTCGTACACACACACACACACACACAGACACGACAGGTTCCCGAGGCAGGGTTTCCCAATTTCGGCGGTTGGCCGTCGGGGGATTTAACAAGATTTCCGAAAATTAATCAACCGTTTCGGGTGGTGGAGGAGGGGGCTGCAGGGGTGGTATCCACTTCGGCCCGTATTCAACCCGTTCCCGGATTTATACACGGAGGCACAACAGATGGGTATCGCATGCGCCAGCCGGGGTAAACTGAATCTGGTTGACCCAGAACGACGGGACTTAATATCGTGAAGGCTAGTTAGGTAAAACGCGCTCTAACGATATTTAACTCGACGGAGACGGTGATGAAATTGGTGTATGTGTGTCTACAAATAACGGGCATATATGGTGTGTGTGTGTCGAGCATGTTCCGAATTGTTCGTCGGTCGACGTATTTTCGATAGGGTCTGGGTTTCCTAATGATATACAACTTGTCCCTATTGTAGACCCGCGAATGGTACACCTGTTCGACGGCTGGGCCAATAGGATATCTTTCTATGGCCCTCCAGCCTGTTAATGGTTATTGGGATTCTTGATGGAGAATGGTTCCTGTC